GTTACTGTGTTGGAGGGTATTATTGAGGAAGTTGGCCTCCTTCAAGGACTCTTGAGTGTAGTGTTGGGGAGAATCAATGAAGAACCAGGGCCTTTTCAGGGTTGGGAAGAGCCACTGACGAATCTAGGTTTCTTCATAGGTCTTTGGATTCAGTGTTGGGAGAGTCACTGAGAGGAACCAGGGCTCCTTCGGTGTCTTTGGATTCAGTGTTGGGAGAGTCACTGAGAGGAATCAGGGCTTCTTCGAGTGTCTTTGGATTCAGTGTTGGGAGAGTCACTGAGAAGAACCAGGGCTTCTTCGAGGGTCTTTGGATTCCGTGTTGGGAGAGTCACTGAGAGGAACCAGGGCTTTTACAAGGGTCTTTGAATTCATTGTTGGGAGAATCACTGAGAGGAATTCGGGCTTCTTCAAGGGTCTTTGGATTCAGTGTTGGCGATGGTGCTGGAGAGAGCTGAGCTCTCCAAGTGTGTTCGGACAAGGTCATGGCCAAACTGGCTTACATCTCAGTGTTACAGCGTACGGTCCTCCGGAGCTGAGGGACAAGAACTTGATCATTTGACATATGAAAAAAGAATGAAAGGAGTCACGATCATGACATAAAAAATATTTGAAGAAAAAGAAAATACAAACATAGGCTGATCTGTTTTATTAGAGAAGAATGAGAGGACAAATAATAAATGGAAAACACAGCTTTCACAGGCGTCTAAAAACAGGAACAGACTAGAGAGGCAGATTAAAAGCAGAACCAACACGTAGCTCAAAATAAAAGAGCGATAAACCCAAAGTTAAATAAAAGGAAGTTCAGTGGTGGATCCAAAAGATGAAGGTCTCGAAGCGCACACACACACTAAAAAAAAAAAAAACGTTCTTAAGACGTTGCTACTTTCTAGAAGGTAGTAGTTACCAAGGAGACAATTGCTACTGTTACTGTTGCTTCTATTCTAACAATCTTCCTCTATTCTATTCTAACAATGCACTCTCTAGAAAGGCGTAGAATTAGGGGGGATATGATCGAAGTATATAAATGGAAAACAGGAATAAATAAAGGGGATGTAAATAGCATGCTAAAAATATCTAACACAGACAGGACTCGCAGCAATGGTTTTAAGCTGGAAAAATTCAGAGTCAGGAAGGATATAGAAAAGCACTGGTTTGGTAATAGAGTTGTGGATGAGTGGAACAAACTCCCCAGTACCGTCACAGAAGCTAAGACCTTCTGTAGTTTTAGAAATAGTGGGTGTGGGTGGGTGTGAGTTGGACCTGACTAGCTTGTGCTACTAGGTCGGATGCCGTGCTCCTCCCTTAAGTGACGTGTCTGACCACACTAGGTCAAGGCATTGGCTTAAGCCGATGGGAGAATTGGACCTGCCTCGCAAGGGCCAGTAGGCCTGTTGCAGTGTTCCTTCTATCTTATGTTCTTTTGTTCCTAAATAACCATCTTTAACTCTCCTCATAACAAATCTGCACAAATGTTAAGCAATTTCCTCCTGTGATGCATTTCCGATTTTCTCACCTGAATGTGGTTGAGGATGTCGAACTACAGCTCCTGGCCCCTACATTTGCCATATCCGAGTTTATCGCCTAAAATTGACACTGCTAGAAAGTGAACCTGAACCTGACTTACCTACACCTCATTGCTAAATTGTCTAATAGGGTTTCAAGCATATCTACTACACTAGGGTCATTAAAACTGCACGAAACCCTTTCTTGGCTAAACAAGAATATTTAAATCCCTAAAATAGGGATTAAAGCAAACTCTCAGTGCGTGTACACCGATAGATGTAAACTTCTCTGTGTATTTACACTAAGAGTCGTAAACTCCTCTGTGAATGTATACTGAGAGACGTAAACCTCTCAGTGTATATACACTGAGAGACGTAAACCTCTCAGTGTATATACACTGAGAGACGTAAACCTCTCTGTGGTATAAACCTTGGTAATAAATACCGACAAGTTGGTTTAGAAAGACACGTAAGCAAACACTATAACATATTTATTAGAAAACGTTTCGGTCCTGGGACCGTGATCAAGGTCCCAGGACCGAAACGTTTTCTAATAAATATGTTATAGTGTTTGCTTACGTGTCTAACTAAACCAAACCTCTCTGTGTATGTATCCCGACACCTTATGGATCTCGGATCAATCACTGTATCAAATAAGTCTCTACAAAAAGCTTCAGTCACTAGAGGGCGAAACGTCTTCCAAAATAATAAATAGCATAAAATATATATGATAAATCCTTCCATGGAACGTAAGTTTAAAAAATACAAAAAAAAAAAAAGATTGGCTTATCGTTTATGATAAGTGAATCAGAGATGTGATTAGATATAGAAATGACGTGTGTGTGTGTGTGTGTGTGTGTGTGTGTGTGTGTGTGTGTGTGTGTGTGTGTGTGTGTGTATGTGTGTGTGTGTGTGTGTGTGTGTCTAATGATCGCTGCCACACTGTGTAAACTTATGGATCATAAACTAAATATATCGATACACTATCTAATTACCCAGTGTCCGTCTCCGTTCACCCAGGGATAGTATTGCTACCCACCCAGGGATAGTATTGCTACTCACCCAGGGACAGTATTGTTACCCACCCAGGGACAGTATTCTTACCCACCAAGGGA